TAGTTCACCCAAAAATTAAAATTCTGTCATTAATTACTCACCCTCATGTCGTTTCAAACCCGAAAGACCTTCGTTCATCTTCGGAACACAAATTAAGATATTTTTGATTGAATCTGAGAGCTGTCTGAACCTGCATAGACAGCAACGCAACTGAAATGTTCCCAAGTCCAGAGACGTATCAAGGAGATCGGTAAAATAATCCATGTGACATCAGTGGTGCATCGTCACACGGTTACGCTGTTTTCGTTCAGATCAAATCAAAACAACGTAGGAAACAGATCCGGCATGACGCAGCTGACACAGAACAGCATACGTTGTTTACGTCCAGCGGATATTCTCCAAAATGGCACCAGGGTGATGCGGAGGAGACTAATTGTTGAATAAAGTCGTTATTTTTTTTCTTTTGCGCACAAAAAGTATTCTCGTAGCTTCGTATAATTGCGGATGAACCACTGATGTCACATGGATTGTTTTACAGATCTCCTTGTTTCTGGACTTGGGAACATTTCAGTTGAATTGCTGTCTATGGGAGGGTCAGACCGCTCTCAGATTCCATCAAAAATATCTTAATTTGTGTTCTGAAGATGAACGAAAGTCTTACGGGTTTGGAACGACATGAGGGTGTGTAATTAATGACAGAATTTTCATTTTTGGGTGAACTATCCCTTTAAGAGCTTGTGTGGCAGCATTCCAGGAGGGACAGAATCTGTTATAAAGGTAAAGGGAGTCAAATGATGAACACTGATAACACTGGAGATCTATGGCTGGCTATTATTATATATTTACCATATTTTAAATACAATCCCAGTGTTTGCTGAAGCCGTTTCTTTTTAACTCTTGCTATTGAACTAAGTGTATTTGTATAGGCTAAATGCCTCTTTGAAAAATGATTTACAAAGCAAACTAGATTTGTATTTCCTAAAGGAAATGCAGTGATTGGCAGCATTAAAAAGATTGTCTTTAATGCTATAAAAATGTAAAGTGACTGTACATCAGAGCAGCTTTGTGTTTTCATGTCACAATGCTCAATTTGGGCCTTTTCATTGGCTGAGCACGTGAATCAACATGCGTCTTTTTTTTCACGTGGCTTTTAAAGGCTGAATATTCTATCGGTGTCACTTAAGGAGATTTATTCTTGACATTTAATCTTAACATTTATAGATATTTATAGAATCTAAATTTAAATATATCTAATATCTAATGCTAAATTTATCTGTAAAAGGAGGTATTAGAAAGTATAAAAAATAAATTAACAAGAAAACAATAAAGGTACATAATACTTTGTTCAAAGACTGTCTAATACTAACCAATCTATGTTGTCACTCAATAACACCAAAAAATATTGTTTTCACTAAATCTAAATAAAGTTGAAAAGAGACCCAAAGTATACCAAAAAGCATGAATGCATTTATGTATGTATGTATGTATTGTAATTTTTTTTATTTTTGTGTTATGAGGCAGAAATGGGTTTCTAGGCTGGAGCCCCCCAATTATTAAATAAAAAAATGATTATTATTATTCATATAAATAATTATGTGTGTGTGTGTGTATGTGTGTATGTATAAATATATATATATATATATATAGATAGATAGATAGATAGATAGATATAGATATAGGATAGCCTAGTGCCCAATGTGTGTGTTTTACTCAATAACACCAAAAAAGCAGTGTTTCTAGTAAACTTATATTTATGTATACTGGATTATCCAACACTATCAACCGACCATGAGTGAAATATTTCCACTAGTGAATGTACTTTACACTAAAATGTTACAGTGAACAGCCTTTTCAGGTGAATCAGAGAGCAGTTGTGTGTTATCGCGATACTCACAGTGACGTGCGCTCATGACATCAAGCGACGCCGTCGCACGGAATGCTGGGAAACAAACAGTGGTATGAATAACGCTCGTCGTAAACATCCCTTACCGATGTGTACAAGAGCTCGCGGAGGGCAAGTAAACAAGCAGTCCGGCAAACGCAGCGACCGTCTTTCACAGCTCTTATAACCGCGCTCAGCTGAGCGAAGAGATGTGACACTTTGAGCGGCGGGACTCTGGAGCGAGCTGTGCCTGGACTCGGGAAAGTTGAGCGTGTGTGTGATTTATCCGTCAGACAGGAGCGGTCTGAGAGGGGGTTTATTCCTCTGATGTTGGGATCGAGAGTATGGCGTTCATAAGCGAACGACAGCTGACGCGCTTGCATCTCAAGTTCTTGAAGTGGCACGACTCCACATCAGTCTTTCCGAGATAAATCACTAGATTATAAATCACCGGACTGCTAGTCTTCGCTTTCCAGGGAAATCGTTGCTGATCGCATCGCCAGAGGAGCCCGGGTTGGGCAACGTGTAGCCTACATTCAAGGGTCAACATTTTGGACTGGTCCAATCGATTAATCCAGTGAAGTCATATGAAGTCGGGATGAATATGTGGAGCTCGGGGCCAGTGCAGGGTGTGCTGAAAGCCCTAAAGCACGCCGCGGGGAAAGGACACCTCCAGCTGAGCCGCTGGCTGCAGCGCACCCCGGACCCCCTGGACTGCGACAAGATCGACATCTTGATCTGTAACGTCTTTGACGAGAGAGGGAACGGCGGGAAATCGGAGGCGGACCCCGCGTGTCACACCGAGCCCGGCGCGTCCTTCACTCCCGAGTTCAGGCATCCGTGCTGCATCACCACCTGTTGCTTTAAAAGCGCCCTGCTGGCGTGCGTCCTGACCGCCGTGTGCTTCTCCTCGGTGGCTCTGGTGCGCCAGTACCTGAAGGACGTGTTGCTGTGGGTGGAGAGTTTGGACAGTTTTGTGGGAGCCATGCTGTTCATAGTGGGCTTGATCACGGTGTCGTTCCCCTGCGGCTGGGGCTACATCGTGCTGAACGTGGCCGCGGGGTATTTGTATGGGTTTGTGTTGGGCATGGGGCTGGTAATGGTTGGGGTTTTGAGCGGGACTTTCATCGCTCATGTGGTGTGTAAGCGACTGCTGACGAACTGGGTTCTGGGTAAGATCGGCAGCAGTGAACAGCTGAGTGCTGTTATTCGGGTGGTGGAGGGTGGAAGTGGACTCAAAATTGTGGCCTTAGCGAGACTCACGCCGATTCCTTTCGGCCTCCAGAACGCGGTCTTCTCGGTAAGTCACTTTTGGCCATTTATGCTATTTACATAATTGTTGTTTTTAACAAGGAATTAACCCACATCAGATGTTTTCGTTTAACCAATTTCGCACCAGTGTTATTTTGGTGTCATTGTTAGAGTGCCATAGTTTTTATTAATTGTTTCGAATTATATTTATTTATATTTACCGTTTTCACTATAATTTGACAGTTTTAGTCATTTGTTTGTATTATTTGTGATTTGTATTCGTTTTTATTTATTATTTTACTTTACTTCAGTTTTGGTTTTTTATTGTACTTTAAGTGAGAAATGTTGTTCTGGCAACTAGCTAAAATAATATAAGTTTAAGATTTTTAATATGTTTTATTTCAGCTTACGTTCATCTTATTTTAAGTAACAAAGTGGTTAAGTGGTTTTAGTTAACCCTATAACCCAACATCAATTGCAAGTGTGACATTGCTTTTATACAGCAGTTCACTAGAACAGAATCAATAGATAAGTAATAACAGATAATAAATAACAGATAATTTATATTGTGAAATTTTCCTTTCAGACAAAGAAAAAAAAGGCCAGTTACTTCATATATTTGAAAATCGCTCCAAATGAAGAAATCAATTCATTTTTATTAAAAAGCCGATCTGAATCAACATATGAGTGGTTTGTGATAAAGATTTCCCATCCCGCTCAAAGTGTTCTGCAATCATTCTGCTCGAAATCCATTCCATGATTTACACATACTACTCACTAGTGAGAGAAACCCCGCATTGAGCAACACTGAAGCAAAAAACGTTGACATTTAGGCTTTCACAAACTTTTTTTCGCTGCAGCCAAACATATGATTCTCCCTATTTATTTATAGGTATCTGATTAATAGCATTGAAGTGGCTGTTAAACTTTAAGGGACGTCCAGGTGGCTATTAAACAATTAAAACCTCCAGCTCCGAACCAGATTTAAATCAAACATAACTGCTCTTCACGCAGGACCAAGGGTATAAAGACAGGTCTCTCTGTACATTGTAAAATTCCCCTCAGACACATTGCACAACCAACATAATACATTTTTAATTAGCTGACACACATGAGAAAGAAACTGCAACCTTTAACAATGACAGAGAACTGTAAAGAAAAGTGATGCATACCTACTGCAGTGTCTAACAGCATTTTTAGCCTTACTCAGAATTACGTCTAACCCAGTTTCTTTAACCTTTTTGATAAATACATGGTGACACATGTAAATATATAGCAACATTTCAATAATTTACCAAAAAAGTTACACAGTTTTCTGGGCTCCTAAATGTGATTTTAATGTGATTTTAATTTTATGTAAATGATTTAGTGTAGTCACTATTCAGCGAGCTGTGTTTTATTCTCTTCGTTCAGAAGTTGTTTCTTAAAACAAAGAAAGATTACATCTGCTTATTTTGAATTAGATTTGAGAGACTTTCTGAGGGGATAAGGCTGGTTTGGTTTTTGATATGAACTTGTGGACTTGCAACCTGCGATTTTAGAACATATTTGACTATTGTTTGCCCTGTTTGCATAATTTATTCACTGGATGATTCATATGTTAATGTATTTCTCCTTTGAAGTTTTTTTATGATGGCGAGGATTATGAGCAGATGTTTTTTAATACAAGTTGAATGTTTAACACCACTTCCACTTGACAGATCATGTTATTTTGTCTGACAGTGACTGATCATATCTGGGTTTCAGGAGTGCTGGAAATGAACATTGAACACCTGCTTACATCAGGAATTTGTCTTTTTTTAGGTTAACAAACAGCTTTAATGTTAAGCAGCTGTTTAACTGCACAGTTAATTGAAAATATTCAAAATTACAGTTACGCTGCTGCAATTAAATAACTGTAAATATTGTCAATTACAATATTTTTTGCAGCGGTTAAACATTTGTAACATTATGTGCATGAATGCAGAGATGAATCAGAACATTTAACATTTGTATATTAGACTTCTTAATAAAGGCAGCTGTTAAATATTGGATGCTGAAAACACATCACCTGGCACACACAAAGCTTTAAACCAAAGTGCTAGTTTAGTAAATTTGCATTTGCGATTTGTATTTTGTACAACACCCAATATGCACTGTAATCAAAACTAGAATACTCCCAATTATAATCAACAAGCTGTAAACATTCTGTAATAAAATATTGATTCTGTTGCGTAGCTACGGAGTCCAAACTCTGTGTGTGAGCAGTCTGGACTCAGACTGTTGTGTGAAATTGTGTAAACTAACAACGGACAGGATGGGAGTGTTCTAGTATTGGCATGGTGCTCACTTTCTGTGTATAATTAATTACACGTTTGAATAGTAGTTTTCTTTTCATGCAGTTAAGAGGACCAGTAAAGAAAAATGGCCATTTATTTGCAGTCTTGATTTACAGATGTATAAAATCACAATAAAATCAGAAACACTGTGTTAAAACAGTTATCATTAACTAAAATAGTAAAAACATCGTTACTTGAAATAAAATAAATATTAACTGAAGTAAAAAAAAATATTTATTAAAAAAGAAAAAAGATTTAGACTTTTTTTACCAAAGCAACATTTCTCATTTTTAAATCGGATTCGGAAGATATAAAAATAAAAATTTATTCAAATGTTAATAAAAAATGATATCTCAATGATGCTAAAATTCTGTTTAGATGCCTATGACTTGCAGTTGCCCTATATAAAATAGAAAAAAAGACTTGTGCAGCCCTGTTTAGCCATCACTCTTCAGTCAAAAGTAACCTACATTACACTAGCTCAGTGTCATTGCCCTTAAAGCAACGTAAGTCTGTGTTCATTCTGAAGGACGCTGTAGTGATCGAGCACTTGGGTCATCTCAGTAACTTGGGATTGAACCCGATACGTGAGTCAGTTCTCTCGCTCCATTAGCCTGCCATCCTCTACTATAATCCTAATATCAATGAGGATGTTATTCAGTTTGTATCAGTCTACATTTGGAAAGTGAGTGAACAAAGTGCGTCTAATTGACTCTAATTGTGTTAACCCTAATTGGTTTTATTTCGCCTTTCTTTTTTTACATAACAGAGGGATCACAGCCCAAGGGTGTGATATATGTCGGCACTAAACGGGTCACACTGGAATTATGTTTCGCATCCTCAGTAAGCACGTCCTATAGAAAGGGCCGTATTTCAATGTGCCCTGCGTTTTCTGCTGAAGCAGAATGTGATGTGTTATGTAGGTAACCCAACACAATGCATGCGTCTGCATAGTGCATACTTAAAATATTGCTTCACAGCAATTTACAATGAAGTCGCTTCTTAGAACAAGAATGCATCGTTTTATCTCGTTCATGAATATTAATAGGTCGATGCAACCCAAATCAAACAATTCCTGCATCTTCTCCAGCCTAATGAGCTAAAATAGAAGGGTTTTACATCATGGTTCAGCACTTGAAGACAGAGATTTGCACCATGTTTTACAACTCGCACCCAAAGGTGATACAATTGAATTATACAATGCTTTAATACGTTTATGTAGGGTGTGTTTGCTTAGATTTAAAGATTTAATTTTCAAAGCATTATAGCAATGCAATACAACCAGTAAAACATCCTACATGTGTTGCAGAACAAATCTGGGCATTGTGCTGTATTTACATAGAGGAAATTGAAATGAATATGTGAGATGAATTAAGTGTTTAAAAAAGATTTTTAAATTGCTGGCATGTCAACATATGATAATATAGAAAACCAAAATGATTGATATGGAAATGTTTTCAATTCTATTGCATTAGAGAGGCTAGAAAAGTCCAGTTAGCATGTGAAGAACAGTGATGGGGCTAAACGAGGCTGATGACACATTCTTGCAGGCGGTGAAAACACTCTGTGATTAATCTTGACCAACTCTAGTTGTTGCTCTCGTTGACAGATCACAGACGTGTCCTTGCCAAATTATTTAGTGGCTTCCTCAGTGGGACTTCTCCCAACACAACTCCTTAACTCATATCTGGGCACCACCCTGCGCACAATGGAAGACGTGATCGCAGAACAGAGCGTCAGTGGATACTTCGTGTTCAGTCTACAGGTAAGCCTCCAAAAACAAAAATGAAACCGGAAAAGATTTGGAAAGAAAATCGGCAGGAACCCTGTATGTACAGTTTAACATACTCCTTGCAGAATCTTCAAGAAGTTATATTAATTAAAAGAAGTTTATCAAAAGAAGTTTACATTCACATTTGGATCCAAGACTTTGCATTTTAGCAGGCGCTTTTATCCAAAGCAGCTTGCAAATGAGGAGCATCACTAGGATTTTTTTTTTTTTTTGAGTCACGTTTAGTTTGTCACGTTTATTTATAGAGCTTAATACAACACAGAATGCAACGCTGACTCTCTTCCTGTTGATTACTCTATTACCTGTTTTGTTTTTTTACACACAATTAGTGGTGCATAATATAATGTTGCCCTGAAGCTGTTCATTGTTTTGTAAAGTTCTTTGGTTTCCCAGTATGCTTTGCATATTGGAATTCTCAGAATTCACTGGAACTTTCAGTGGCGTTTAGATTTAGCTTTGCCACTTGGACAATTGAGAGACTAATAGACGATAATCACAAAAGGTTATAAACGGTGATTAATGCTAAAGAGTATAACCCAATGTTAAACTTAAACCAGATCATTTGTGTAATTTCATTAATTTTGTCTTGTAGAATTGTGTTATATATGTCTTCTGCACTAAAAATTAGATGAATAAAGTATTTAATAACATCATTGAAAAAATGTTTTTTATTTTTTAAATTTATTTAAATGGTGTTTTGCAGATTCTGCAATGGATTTGTAACCGTATGAGGAAATGAAATATTTATGCCTAGTCTAGATTCTTGTGGAACCTGTAGTAAACCATAATTATAGATGGTCATTGGCAGAGCTTTGACCAAAAATGTGTTCTTATTTTGCATTTGCCCTTGTGTGTAGTAAAGTTAGATGCCAGTAATGAATTCTTGACTGAAACAGGATGTTTCAAGATATCAGCCAAGGAATTATTGCTTAAATTTACAACCACACTGAATAAGTCCCATCATGTGGATGTTTGTATCAACCGTCGCCCAGCTCAGTCTGCAGATCCGCCCAGTGACTCGCTCTCTCTGTTCCTCTCATCAGATCTTCATCAGCATAGGCCTGATGTTTTACGTTGTACATCGAGCACAAGTGGAACTGAACGCCGCCATTGCAGCCTGCCAGTTGGAGCTGAAGACGTCGTACATGAACGGCGAAGCGGCCAACCAGGGCGGCTCGACCTACTGCAGCAAACGGGCTGCGGCGGGAGTGGGGATCAACGTGGTCTGAACGCCACATTTATCCAGTTGGACGGATGGAGATCTGTCTCGGCTGTGTCAGGGAGTCTTGGGAGCTGCTACAGTCCCAGCCAGCTGTTCTGGTTATGATGGAGGTCTGATGTGGAGCAGCACTGGACTGTCAAAGAGCCGAAGAGCCCAAACATTGCCCAAAGACTGGGACCCAGGGCCAGTATTATATCAGAAGTTTATGAGATTGACTTGAGATCTATTTGTTTTTGCGGTGCATTTTCTTTTTAAAGTTCTTTTTTTATGATACTAATATCAAATTATATAACTTTATAGGAGGTCTAAAGCATGAAATGGGTAAATTAATTAAAGCAAATGTTATAGAATTGTAGTTAGTTACTAAAGAGGGCACAACTAATATATCAGGTTAATGTGCTTAAGATGTTTCCTTTTTTTTTGTTTATATATATAATATGAAGAATTGTTTAATTTTTGATACTTTTTTTTTTTCATCTAAAGGTATTGCTTGATGGATTGTTTCTTTTCGTATTATGTCTAGAGTAAGAAAAACTATTATAAGTTAGTACCACCTACGTAAAAAATCTGGCTTTTGCCAAACTGGGAACACTTTTGCTACTCTGCAGTTTTGTAAGGAACAGATGGGAGGGAAGAACATTTTCTTAGCTGGTTATTTAAGGATGTCCTGCCAAGAACCTTTAGTACAGCGTGATTAGCTCAGCGGTATGATCGTACGTGTTCGATTTCTCATTCTCATATTGAGAGGACTGAAATTCTTTGCCTTCTTTCTTGTATTATTTAACCAAATGCTTTATTATAGGGCTGTGAGCATTTTTGACAACACTTTTGTTAATTTTTTCATTGTTAGAATCATAATTCAAAACGTTTGCACATATGGAATTTAACAAACTGAATATGTAGATAAAGACGAAATGCAGAAAAGCGGGGAAAGTAATTATGATGAATATATTCTATATATTGAATATCTAATATATTTGTATCATTATTTAAAGATATGTATTTATATAAATATTTTCCCTAAGTTAGGGGAAAATATATATATAAAAAGGGAAGCATTGTCATTTGTTAGTACTTTATTATTATTATTATTATGTAATGAATGCTGAAGTTCAACATTATTTCACATCAGTCTAATGGGTTGTTGGCACTGTGCTGAAATGGCTCACAATTGCCTACAATGCATCTTTTGGCAGTTTTTCTCAAAAATGCACACCAGTGAAAATTCAGCTCAAAGCCTCCACGGCACACTTGAGCGCGACAAGAACAGCTACAAATAACTGACAAAATGACAAACTACAACTACAATGTTATTACACGACTCCAGTCATGGTAATGTCTGTCGTTCCCTCCTTAGAGATTCACCTAATTAGAAACAAAAGACTCCTGAGCACTGACTGACGTATTTGGGTCCTGGCTATATAATTTAGCACAGGCTTCTGATAACGAGCTCAGAGCCGCAGTTAACTCACAGCTTCCACACCGGGAACATGAAATCCCTCCATGCAAGGGATTTCACGCAATCCTGGTGCTTAGTTTGTTTGTTTTGTCCTCTCGTTACATTCACCCATACACTACGACACTGTTGTGCTGGTTGACATGAAATTATGCTGTAAATCCAGCCGTTCATGCTGTAAATCATTGTGGAGGTGACTTTGATTTCGTTTTTGTCATTGTGAGCTTTTTATCCACATTTTTCTTTTTTTATAAGAAACACATGCTCTAAATGATGGGTTTCCCAGAAACTGTACACTCAGTCGGTAGTGACTTCATTCTCCGTGTCATTTGAGACTCGCCGTTTGGTTTACAGCATCAACACTAGAGCGTCACCATAATCTGACAATCAGTGGAAAACTGGCGCGCTGCTCATTCCGAAAAACCATCTCATCTTACTCTGTATTTACATCTCCAGTTATAGTTTTGCTGCTACTTAGACTGTAGGGTCTGAGTGAAATGCTGACAAGGGCTTGAATTAATATTGCAATTTTACTAAGTGATCTACACCATCTAGTTTTTTCTTACATGGAGAGTGTGCAAATAGATTTTCTAACAAGTTGTTACATTTATTTTGAAAAGTGCAGGTGTAACTGTGCACAAATGGACACATTCCTTAACTTAAAAATGGGACGAATGGTTTTTATTTAATTTTTTTCTCCAAGGAAATGGAATAGCCCCTCTGTTTTCTGAATTTAGCAATAAATAAAAACTGAGCGTGCTGACTCACCATCTGAGTTACATTGTAGAGATCCAACAATCCTGGTCTTGTGTTACGATGTCAACCTGCCTTGTACCTCTTGCTGCCTAAGACGTTGAAACGGGACACTTGCCTGCGGTGTGTTCAGACATTAATTCGAGCAGGCATGGGGTTGAGATAACTGAAAAGATGAAGATTGTTGGGATGTAAAATGCAGAAAGAATCAAAATTTAACAAACGACAAAAATAAATGACAATTTGAGGATATGTATCAGTGCTTTTGTCTTATTTTTTCCAGTTCAAATGACAGTGGGATATGCAACAGTGCGCATAATAGCAAAGGGGTCATGTGAGGTTCTTGGCAAACCTTAATCTGAGATTACAGCACATTAAAAAAAAACATACACATGTAATTTCAGATTAGGGCACATCAGGTACTATACTGAAACCTCTTGACCCCTTTGACAAGTGCATTTTACATACACTGTATTTTGTAATACAGAGAATTTTGCAATGTAAATAAATCTTTATCGCTGTACCATGCTTGTTCAGTGTTATTTATGAAATAAAATTGTTGAAAAATTCCACGAGCATCTTGTGCTGTGCTCTCTAGTCTACATAAATACCCCAGTGTTTCCAGTAGCCCCTCACTGCAGAACACAAGATTCAGGGGGCGGGGTTGGATCCACATCTAGGGGGTGGAGATGGGTAGGTTTAGGGGTGGAGATGGGTGGGTTTAGGGGTGGAGATGGGTGGGTTTAGGGATCGGGGGTGGAGATGGGTAGGTTTAGGTATATGTAAGGTGGAAGGAGTTGGATCTGGATCCAACCATGCCACCTGGATCTTGTGTTCTGCAGTGAGGACCATCTCAGTGTTTCTGCATTTAATTCAGTGTAGGAGACACGTCTTAGAACGGGCTCTTAACAGAAGATGGTTTGTTTGCTGATAATTCAGTTTAGTTACAGATTGACAGTGCTATATTGTCTGCTTAAGTAATTACTTAAGATTTCATTCCTCACATGGTTGCCTCCTGTTTCAGTATCTGTTATCTTGGAGTTGCAGTGACATGGTACAAACTGCACCATTATCTAACCTAAAGCATGCAGTCTGAACTGTGAAATGTGGAAGATCCAACCCAGTCTCACAGGATGTACGTATGTAACTTTTTACAAGGTAGTAATTTCATATGAAATTGTACAATGTTGAACTGTAGGAAAACGTATGTTTTTTATGACAACTATGAAGGTCCACCATTTACCCCAACCGTTAATATGGTTGACTCACATCATAAAAATATATACGAAAATGCCACCTTGTAAATTTTGCATTCATTTTTATTATTCATTTAATTATTCATTTTTACAATGTGAATCAAATGAAAACATACAATTAAAAAAAAATAAAAAACATAACGGAAAAAAACGTATGATTTTAGAAAATAACCAAAATTATTCCCCACCCCCACTAAACAAAACCAACCTAATATCATGAGAAAACTATTTGTAAACTATTTTATAAAGTGAAAATTTCATATAAATTTGTACGATGTGAAATTGTATGAAAACTTTTTTCAATTTTTTTTTTTTTTTACAAAAAGCATGTAGGTCGTTCCCTAACTCCACCTCTAAACATAACCAACCCGATCTCATAAGAAAGCATAACTATTTTACAATGTGGCAAATTTGAATGAATTTGTACAATATGAATTGTACGAAGATTTACGATAAAAAAAAGAAAAAGAAGCATGAATGTCCACCCCTAACCCAACCCCCTAAATATAGCCAACCCAATTTTATGATGTGAAAAAATATGAAAATTCATCATCATGTCGTTCCAAACCCGTAAGACCTTTGTTCGTCTTCGGAACACAAATTAAGATATTTGTATGAAATCCGAGAGCTTTCTGTTCTACGTCAGAACGCCGGCTTCTGCGTCAGCAGCAACACACGCATGTGTCGCACATCTAAGACCGACACGGAAGAGAAAAATATGGTTAAATAAAGTCGTTATTTTTGTTTTCCTCACACACAAAAAGTATTCTCGCTGCTTCACAAAATTATGGTTGAACCACTGATGTCACATGGACTATTTTAACGATGTCCTTACTATCTTTCTGGGCCTTGAACGTGTCAGTTGTGTCTGTGCAGGGTCATCTTAATTTGTGTAATTAATTCATTTTTGGGTGAACTATCCTTTTAAACAAACAAACAAAAAAGAACAGTAAGCAGGAAGGTCCACCGCTAAACATAATAAACAGCCCCAATCTCATGGGAAAGCATAAATATTTTACCAGGTGCCAATTTCATGACTTTGTATAATGTGAATATTAGAAAACGTACGATTTTTACAAATAAAAAAAGTACCCATGAAGGTCCCTCCTAAACATAAAACAAGAAAATAATAATAAATTCACATAAATAATATCCACCAATTCACTAAAGCGTAAAATAGTTATGAATTGCCTTGAGATTGTGTTGGAAGATCCCTGCTGGAGTTGTTCCATGACCGTAACCTTGTGTGTCCCTGATAAGGGAAAACCCTCCTGGAAAGTGCTGACCAAACAAACACATCACGTGCTTGTCATTACGTTACCATTGATTGCATGTTCGGTGTGGTATATTGACATCGCTGTCTTTAACATTTGGAGAGGACTGATCTGAAAGTCCCACTATTCCCCCTTCCCTGAAATAGCATGTGCTCCTGGCCAAGTTTCAAAACAATTCAATGTGCTACAGTGATGCCTATTGAGGGGAAGATCATTGCGATTTACTACCACGTCTTGTTGAGGACAATGAGAGCCTTTAACAACCTCTAACAGTCATGTGTCAGCTACAAGTATAAGGATATTCAAACAAACCTATCACAGGACTGGCCCTTTTAGTAACAGTGGATGTTATCCTGGAGAGAGGGGCAAGGAGAGTGTGTTTGCGCCGCGAGCAGACCTCTGTGAGCCAGTCATACAGACCCCGAGGGCAGATCTGTGGCAGTCTGACCTGGTTTAGATGTAATATTTACTCATCTGGCCAAGCCAAAGCTTTATCAGCCTTGGCAGTGAGGTGTCTTTCAAGGTTGTCTGGAGTCACGTGTCCACCCTGCTTAAGACAGCTGCTGCCTTGACACTCATATGCTTTCAGCTAATTTAGGACAGTTAAGAAGAGACCTCACCAACTGGAATAAGTAGCATATTTATCTGAACATTATTTCAGAGATAGATCCAGTGAGCTCAGGCTGTGGTAGTTTAAGCATCAGAAGATAAACAGACTCGCTAGTTTGTTTAATTTGTCTACTAACAATGTCCACTTTTTTTTTTAAATTCCCACCTCCTTTGTTTTGCTAAGGCTAATTTCAAAGCTATAATTTTATGTATTCAAATGCACAATTAGATAATATTTTCACACTTTTTGCGCAAAATTACAGCTTGATTGGTAATGTTGCACAGTAACATTATTCTATTCGCAACTGATACCTTTTGTTGCACATCATGTCATATTCACTGATCTATAATAGAGAACATTATATATAGATCAGTGGTCATACTGCATACAGACAAACTTTTGAAAAAAAAAAAATCTGAATTTCAAAACTGTTGTGTGAAGGAAATGCTGGCACAACTAGTCAGTCATAATTTTGGGGGGGAAATTATAAATAATTTTACACAATATAATTTGTGATTATAATATAAAAGAAGATAATATAAATAAAAAAAGAAATATAAAGAGACAAACTGTAAAAGTGAAATAAGGTAAATATATTTTAACTATTGCTTTTTGTGTTTGGTTTATAGTTTTGTTTAAATCACAGTAATATGTAAATTCTGCAAAGAAATGCTTTATAAACAAAACAAAAATTATTTTAATATATTCTTAATTGAAAATTAAACGTCGTGTTTGGTTCTGTATTTTACTATAGCATTTTTTGGGGGGTATTTTCAGAATATTACTGTATATGTAGTAGTTCTATGTGCACAATTTTGATGTCATCATTTTACACAGCATTTTAATTTCACAGATTTTTTACAGTACACACACACTATGTGTGTGTAGTTTCAAAAAGTAATAGTACACCATGCCTCCATTCCAATGACATTTAAAAGCTTATTTATATAAAGGGCCATGTTTGAGAAATACTGACCACTAGTGGTGTAATATAGGACACACAACCCGTACCACAATAAATCAAGGTCACATTTATTTAAATAAAATCATTTAAATTCAGTCAACACTTTCACATTTTAAAAAAAGAAATTATGAGAGAGCAGAGATTGACTGAAATCATGGTTTGAAATAGAATATTTTGTATGACAAATACAAAAAAACACAAAAAACAACAACTGTGTAATAACAATAAGTAAACCATTCTATTCAAACCCTTCAATAAGATCTCTTTCTGCACAGTATTTTATATCCAGCTATGCATCCTATTATCTGTATGTCTTTGTATCTTACACTGATCTGTAGTCTGGATTTGTAGGCACTCTTCACATTCTTTATTTTAGTACAAACACTCTTTAAAACCATCTTCTATGAGACATTTAATAATCATGTTTTGAAAGTGCAGTAAATTCCCCAGTGATCGCTGGTGTAACGGCCACAGTCCAGTTTCTCCATTCCGACCAAGACCATGTGGTCAGGAGTGACTCTTGGGCCGGTTTTAGCAGACCTAAAGAAGATGCGGTCGAAGCGACATCTGCTGATGTAAGGCACAGTCTTATTGCTGTTTGCTTTGGTGTCCCAGGTGTATCGGCAGTGTTCCTGTTTGCCCAGCTGTTCCCAAACATCACACACACCTGGAGGCAAACCTCCCACCTTTACCACCTACACGGACAGAAACAATCTTCAGAAATGCTGCATTCATTGCACTAGTGGCTTTCACTGCGCTCTCATTCCTCCATCGTATTTGGAGTTATTGTGCTTGTTAGCACAGTATTTCCTAACCTTCTTCTATTATTCAGAGGCCCACCAGTCAAACTCAACACTTTTTGTTTTGTTTTGTTTTACCTCAGAGTCTCTGAGATTGGTGTCCCCGGCAAAAATTACAGTAGCGTCTTCTGGTGCTTCCTTCATCTTTTGAAATACGAGCCGCAGTTGTTTCATTCTCTCCTCTGATTGGTTCTTACAGCTTTCTAAATGTGATGTCATCAAGTATAGCTTCTGACCTGAGAAAGTCACCTTAATAAGATACAACAGAGTCAAAAAAAATGTATGTGTATAAATAATGAGAAGCAAATGAATTATGAGAGACACATAATAACCTAGAAAAGTAAATATTAATTTATACATACACTACCATTTAAAAGTTTGCAGTCTGAAAGTTTTTTATTTTTTATTTAAATTAATACTTTTTTTCTGCAAGGATACATTAAAAGTGACAGTAAAGACATTTATAATGTTACAAGCAATTTCTATTTCAAATAAATGCTGCTCTTTTGAATTTTCTATGTTCAGCACTTGAGCAGCAAATCAGCACATTAGAATGATTTCTGAAGGATCATGTGACTCTGAAGACTGGAGTAATGATGCTGAAAATTCAGCTTTGCATCACAGGAATAAATTACATTTTAAAACTTATAGAAATAGAAAACAGTTACTTTAAATTGAAATGGCATTTCACAACATTACTGTTTTCACTGTATTTTTATCAAATAAATACAGAATTGGTACATTGTAATTTCAGATTCTATTAAGAAATAGACCTGTGCCACTCATTATACCCCAATACAATCTTTGGATAATGCTTACAAACCACAAACTCACCTGAGCAACTAATAGATTTCTCAACATTTGTGTTGTAGGATAACTGACGATCTCACTTTCCAGAAGTTTTACTCTTGATTTCTTCAACATTATTCCCGTGAAGTATCCGTCATCGCTTCCTTTAATAACGGAGAACTTCATGAATCAGTAAATAACTCATAAATAGCTTCACTGTCTGAGCACAGAGGTCATTCTCTTACCTTCAACAAACAAGTAGCTGACAGCACGCTTCTTAAGATACTGAATATAAGATGGAATGAGTTCTTGAAGAAAAACCACATCTGGTGTATATCTACAAAAGAACAAAGGATAACATGAAACGAGGAGTTACGAGTAAAACAAACCAACTTTACTGTCAAATAAAACATGAAATAGAGGACATCGCGGGTCTCTAAATAACTCACAGAACTAGATACGAACACAAGCCCCTGGCACGCTCTGCAAGACTTAATGTGTCCAAACCATCCACATTCCAGCTGATGAAGGAGAGCTTGCTGTCCTCCGCATTAGATTCGGTTACAACACTTTCAGCCTGACTTTCTTGGGGGTTCACACTGCTGGAGCAGGTGGGTTCCTCCGCTGTCAGGTCAATGCTGCACAACAAACAATTTGAAATATTATTTGGGATATATATAGAATAGATAGGGTATAGTATATGTAGAGCAAATGCCGTTTTCAATTTCTAATAAATAGAGGAGAAAATATTACCAATCCATCTTGTCCGCCTTAAATTTCTTCTTTGTTCCTGAAGTATCAGCAGGGTCTGAGGAATTCACCTCCTTTCTCTTATTCCCAGACACATCTTTAGTTTCCTCTGCATCTTCAACATCAAAGACTGAATCCATATGAGCCTCGAAGAAAGAGTTCAATGCTCTCTGGCAGGAGCACAGAAATAAAAAAGCTTTTTATAAGAACATCCGTGGTTGACGAGAACTAAACATGCTTTACTCAATACAATTGTTTTTTTATGGAAACTTGGTGCAGTAGTAGTGCCATAAGTTAACGTTACCTCCATATCCCATTCATTTTCTGCTAAATAACACTGCGCCACAGCGCTATCCGATCCAGAGACAGAGGCAAACTGATCGCAAAGACTCGTCCTCGTTTCCTCTAGAGCAGACATTTGTTGATCGGTGTGATTACCTGACATAACAGTGTTGGACATGTTCACAGTTCAATATAACGGCGGGACATGAACGCGTACAGCTACAAAAACATTCCGGGCGGAACCCGCGAAAATACGGAGGCAATATTAATATTAACGTAGGCTTGTGGTCGCTGGACCTAATTTATTTACACTATTCTATAAATCACGAACTCAAACTATTATTACCCTAATTTTTTACATTAAATGCTGCAACCAGAGAGTGCCGATCTGAAGAATTGTTATTGCTCAGATAGAGGCTTTTCGGAAGCATTTAACTGTAGCACTGAAAGAGTCGGTTCTTTCGAACAGTTCGTTTCAAAACTGAAACGATTCAGCAATTCTTTTAGCATGACGTAATTACGAGGTCCCTGCACTGATCTATATAAATTCTGTATTATATAGATCAGTGGGTCCCTGGCCAGCCAGTGCTCTGCACGAATACTATAGAAGTCAAATAATGTCTAAACAAGTGTGTGCCAGTTCAGTTGGTTTGTTTCTCCTATGCGACAGCGAATAAAATACAAATAAATGTATAACTTAAAATAGTTAGCATTAGCATTAAACAATTCAAAATTGAATTATGTTGCCTTGCGTTTAAATTGCTTCAGTCGTGTTCTTGAATGAATCGTTCAGGTATGTTTTGTTCATTCGATTCATTGAAAAGACACGACTCAAATGAATCACGAATGACCCATTATGTCATAATAAAAGTCCTCATAGCCGAATGGTCAGTCTTAATTCTGTTAGTATTCATAGATTGACTTATTAGATTTAGTTGACCTAATTTGACGAATACAGTGCAGTTTTTCATTAGTTATCTGCCGTTCTCGTCGTTGTGGTCTAGGGACCTTGCCTAGGAAAATAATAATAATGCTCTTATTTTGTACAACATTTGGGCCATCTTTCAAACATTCTTCAAGAGTGATCCTGTCCTTCACTGTGTTTTGGTATTTGCAGTATCAGCGATGATGTCCATGTCGCTAAATACAATAAAACAGATCATGAGAGCGATGGTGGATAGTCCTGGATTTGACCGGGTTTTAAGTAAGGTACGTGTCGAGCGAAATCTTTGGTTAAATTCAGTGCTTCTCCTTGGAGATCCACACGTATGTAAACCAGCCAGACCAGTTCACTCTGCAGTAAACCTACTGAGACGACCGACCATGTTGTGCTCAGGTGGAGGTATTGTCTGCAGCCCCTGGGAAAGTGGTGTGTGAGCTGAAGGTGGAGGAGGAGCACACTAACAGAGGTGGCACTCTTCACGGAGGACTGACAGCCACACTGGTGGATGTGATCTCCACCACTGCCATCATGTACAGTGAGAGAGGAGCCCCGGGGGTCAGCGTGGACATGAGCATAACGTGAGCTTTTGCCTTTGTGTTTGACTGATACTGTATACAGGACTCCTGTGTCATGCATGGGGAAGACCGGGGCAGTAACTCATCAGTGTTGTTACTGTTAAATAAAACGAATTGTTTTCGCAATATGAATGGATGAATAGAAGTTTTGAAAACATAAAAAAAAAATTTAATTGAATTATTTTTTTAAATTTAAAAAATAAGAAATGTTGCAACTGCCTACTAAGATTATTAGATACTATTAACTAATAGCATTACTAGAATTAAAACAGAAAAAAAAATAATAATAAATTAAAGCTACATTGGAATATTAAAAACGACTAATAAAAAATACAAAAGCACATGGCAAAATTACTAAAACAAACAAAAATTTGATTGAAATATAAAAACAAACGATTCGAAATATAAACAACTACTATAATAGTTACATAAATGCAGTGGTTTGTATGTTGGTTTCAAATACCTAGCTCAAAACAGTCTTTAAATTTTAATTATCTTCTCCAGACTATAATTTCAATATAATATTTTACAACTGGGCCCGTATTCACAAAACATCTTAAGGCTAAAAGTAGCTCATAACTCGCCGATTTAGGAGAAAGTCTTAAAAATAATGGGCGTGTCAGTCCTAAATTTAGGACTCCTAAATTTTTATTCTAAGAGTATTTCACAAAGCGTTTTAGCGCTAAAATTAGCTCCTAACTCTGTGAAATGTTAGGAGTAGTGAAGAGGACTCCTAAAAAAGACCAAATCTGAACTATCCTAAAATGGCTGTTGCCAGCAATCTGCCTC